AGAATACAGGTCCTTCCCAGATACTATAAATATCATGAGAAAAGTTTTTTGTCATGACAGATTGGAAGGAATATTTTTCTTTTTTGGTAATAAAGCCATTAATTATATTTTTATCCTGGTAATATACATTTTGATTACAAATTGTGCAATTCTATTGATATCTTGCGAACAACTCTCTCTTAATGATGTACGACATTTTAATTTTATTCTATTTGTTTTGATTGACAACTTAGTCTCAATTTTATGAAAATTTATACAAAATTCAAAATAAGTGGATCTCTTCTAAATCTCACTAGATTTTTTTTGTATATTTGTATGTAAAATGAGAAATACAAGGTCTTTAAAACACATTAAATCTACATTTTTGATCTTCTTCCAGGTATATAATTCAGTGATTAAAAACTAATTCTACTTAATCAGAAAACGGAGTTAATTCCTGACACTGCAGCAATTTTTCTTGCCATAATGTGATAATGTGTTATTTTTAGAGAACTAAAATAACATAATACAAATCCTTTGGACTTGTGGGATTCCTAACAAAAAGGTTAAAACTGCATTCTGCAGCCATGCAAATCAGCAAATCACCTCCTCTATAGCCTCAGGTACTGGAATAAAACAGGAGCAGTCTTCAATAAAACTAAGCTGTTGAGAATAAAAAGCAGAACTTAAAACAGTAAGAGCCATCAATTCTTTGTTTCTCTAAGCTGCTGAAGCTTAGAGCTCCCTGATGCATCATTACAAGTATACTGCTAGATGTAGAAAGACTCATGGAAAGTTCAAGAGAGGGGTGGTGGGGGTGGGGGGTTAGATTCACTTAAAAAAGAAAATGAGATGCTAAAAAAGACCTTTGTCATCTTGATATATATGATATCATTCTATTTGCTAGGATGACATGAATTGAACTATATCAAGAATAAGGGCATTTGGATATGGTTCACAATCATGGATTATGCATTGTGCAGAGATAAACCGAGGAAAAAGAACACATGGTCCATACTCTTAAAAGTTTGTATATACATACACACACACACCCACGACTTCAAAATATGTTATATGCTATAAGGAGATCCAAATACACTTTACTAATTAGTCATACATGTGTACTAGCTAAGGGATAATAGAGTTACTTGAGAAGCCAAGAAAAAATATTTAATTATATTTTCTACTTATGTTGGCAAAAAATAAAAATATTTCCGCTTACAATAGGATTTGCCTATTGTAGAAACAAACTGCTGTATCACCACAACTGAATCTACCCAGCTAAATCTGCTGAAAGTTCCTGATCTGACCAACTGATTTTTGACAAAGGTAAAAAAATAATTTGTGGAGGAAGGATAGTCTTTTCAACAAATGGTGCTGGAACAATTAGACATCGATAGGCAAGAAATTGAACTGCAATGTAAACCCCACATTTACACAAAAATTAAAAATATCCCATAGATTTAAATGTAAAATGTAATAATATAAAACTTTTAGAATAAAGCATAGGAGAAAACCCTAGGGACCTAGAGCTTGGTGATGAGTTCTAGGCATGACAAGAAAAGCATGATCCATAAAAGAAAAAAGAATCTAAAAGTTGACATTAGATTGATTTTTCTCTGTGAAAACTGTGTTAAGATGAAAAGAAAAGCTACAGAATAGAAGACAATATTTGCAAATCATATACCTGACAAAAGATTTGTATTTAAAATATGTAAATAATTCTCCAAAATCAACAATAAAAAACAATACAAGTAGTAAATGGGCCAAAAACTTGAAGAGACATTTTGCCAAAGAGAATATACAGTACAGATAGTAATTGAGAATATGAAAAATGTTCACCATCATTAACCATTAGGGAAATGCAAGCTAAAACCACAACAAGCTATTACTGCAAATTTATTAACATAGCTAAAATAAATAATGACAGTCCAACACCCATTCATGATGAAAAAAAAAAAAGTCTCAGCAAAGTAGGAATAGAGGAGAACTTTCTCAACCTGATAAAGACTATCTACAAAAAAACCACGAACATCATACTTAATGTTGAGAACTTGAAGCTCTCCCACTAAGATCAGGTACAAGGCAAGGACATCCCCTCTTACCACACTTTTTCAACATCATACTGGACAACCTTTATAATACAATAAGGCAAGAGAAGAAAATGAAAGCTATACAGACTGAGAAGGAAGACATAAAACTGTTTTTGTTCACAAATATCATAATCATCTATGTAGAAAATCTGAAAAAAAAATCAAGAGAAATAAACCCCTAGAACTAATAAGCAATTTATTATAGCAAGGTAGCAAGATACAAGACTAATATACAAAAGTCAGTTGTTTTCTTTTATATCAACAATGAACAAGTGAAATTTGAAGCTTCGAATGTGGTGTTTTGCTTCTTGGTATCAAAGCAAAAAGGGAAACATGGTTGCTTTTAAAATGCACATTGTCAGCTTGGGGCAATAAGCTAAAAAGGGTTCCTTTTAGGTTTCATGAAGAAGGTGAATATGTTCAGAGTCTTTAAAGAAAGGAAGTGTGATGGAAGGAATATGTTTGTTATTAGTGATTCTCAGAGGCAACTACTGCTTTGGACATTTAACAGAAGAACTTTCCTCTACAATCCCATTCAGTCCCCCATCTTCCATTATTATTATATCTAACCATCCCTATGTTTGTAATTTCCCATGATTAATCTACAGTGTTTTGCCTAAAGTAAATTCCTGGAGTCAAATCACATTTTAATTTTACACATTGTAAATGAGCAGGCTATGGAGGAGAAAGTAGTCAAAGCTTGAAAAATGAAAATAAAAAAATGTCTATACTCCCTTGGGATTCATTCATGAGATTTTAAGTTAAAATATGATCTGGCTTACTGAAATTTAGCAAAATATTGCAACCGATCCTGAAAAGTGAGAGGATCTAGGAGTCCTGGGTTCCTGCTTGGCTTTGTCTTGCCTGGTCAAACTTTTGGCCTGCCCCTTCCTGGGCCCATTACTGTGTTGGACATTAGGAACATTGTTTCCATAACAATGTTTGCAGTAATGTTTTAGAGAACAGACAATGGAAAAAGTTGTACAGGACCCATTGGTGATTGTGTAAGTAATGAGAATGATCAATGAGTTCAGCAGAGGAGCTACTATAGGTAGAGTCTAGAGTGATAATAAGGAAGAAAACCTCAGCTGTGCAAGGCACTATTTCCTCAAGCCCGGGGAGACGTCCTGGGGAGAAAAGACTGTGGTTTCAGTTCTTTGGACTTCATCATACAAATGGTGGGGTTTTCAGAGATAGCTAATGTCTCAAAAAGTGAATCTGTCTTATTTGGGGAAAAGATTCATTCTCATCCCTGCCCCCCATCCAGTCCATGTGCCAACCCGACTGGGGTAGAAAAATATTCAACATAAACTCCTTAGGAGATTGTAATAAAAGGAAACTGGAGAAATCCTCTCCTTTGCAGATCTTTAAATGCTTTATAGGTGTGGCTAAGATTCTGCATACTCCATATAAAATTTAAAAAGTATTTTTTTAAATTAAAAAGTTGTTTTTTAACATTTAATATTATTTTATATTAGTTTCAGGTGTACAGTACAGTGGTGAGACATCTATGCAATTTATAAAGCGATCCCTCCAATAAGTCCAGTACCCTCCTGGCACCACACATCGTTATTACAATATTATTGACTATATTCTTCACGCTATACTCCATTTTTCCATGACTATTCTGTAACTACCAACTGTACTTCTTACTCCTTTTATCCCCTTCACCCCCACCACCCCCCACAACAGTTTGTTCTCTGTATCTATGAGACTTTCTGTTTTGTTTATACTGTTCTTTAGATTCCATATATAAGTGAAATCATGTTTGTCCTTCTTTGACTTATTACACTTAGCATAATACCCTCTAGGTCCATCCATGTTGTTGCAAATGGTAAGTTTTCATTCTTTTTTATGGACAAGCAATATTCCACATCTTCTTTATTCAGTCATCTATTGATAGACATTTAGGTTGCTTCCATATCTTGGCTATTGTAAATAATGCTGTAATGAACACAGGCATACATATATCTTTTTGAATTAGTGTTTTGGATTTCTTCGAATAAATACTCAGAAGTGGAATTGCTGGGTCATAACGTAGTTCTATTTTAAATTTTTTGAAGAACCTTACTTTTTTTTGTAGAGGCTACACCACTTTGCAATCCCATCAACAAGGTAGAAGGGTTCCCTTTTCTCCTCCTCCTCATCAGCACTTGTTGTTTGTTAATTTATTGATGATAGACAGGTGTGATGTGATATCTCATTGTGGTTTTAATTTGCATTTCTCTGATTAGTGACATTATCTTTTCTTATGTCTATTGGCCATCTGTATGTCTTCTCTGGA